GTACTCGTACTAGCCTTATGCTAAGTCCTTTACAATACCTGATTCTACTTTGATGGGAATTTTATTTTACAGAGCCAAAATCTGCAATCCTATTCTGTACTATATCTGCTATAACGCAAACATAAATTTATGCTCTCAGTTTAATGTATTTTTAAAAATGATAATAACCTACCTTCTATAATATCGAGATTGTATCTGCATACGCTGACCCCCTTCCTGCTCCTTATATTACTGCTAGCCTAAAATTGTCGATAAATATCAAATTCATACATAATCACACCATAATTTTCCTTATTCAAAGTAGATGACACTCGCTCAGATATTCTCCTTGTCGCAGTATTAGTTATGAAGGCGAGAGTATAAATACATAGGAGGCAGCCGCCTAATATTATTATTACAATTAGATTTCCATTAAAAAATAAAGTAAATTCGATCAAGGTCAGCCCCACGTTTTCAGATAGTTGCGCCATATTGAAACATTTAAATAAGGAAGATTACAGTATCTAGCACTAATAACATTAATTAAGTATACTATTAGGACTATAATTCTGAACTAATTCATTAAGGTGCATCTTCTCAATAAAATGTATAAATTAAAATTATTAATATTAAAATATTAAACTCGTAAAAATTTGACTAGTTAGGTAAACTCCTAATTAAGCATGGACAATAATAACGTTTAGTATTTGCATCTTGAACTGTATCACTTGCAGACGCAGATCAAAGATAACAAGATACAAATAAATAAAAATATATTTCATGATGCATTCTTAAATGCAGCTCAATCACAAAATTTCACCTAATTATGGCTATCAAATGTTTAATCTCTACTTGTATGCTGACAAGATCCGTTTAAATTATAGTATCACATAGGTTTTATTTTATAACCTATTCAGAAATAAACTTTTTTTCAGTCGTCGTTAATTCATAATTCTATAAAATTTTGTGATAGGATTATTGCCATATAACTACTTAATTTATTATTTAACAATAAATCTTTCATGCAAATGAACAGATTGCCATAATACGTGAGGGTTAATCCTTTAAAATAGGAAGCTAGTTAATAAGTAAAATAAAATTATCTCTACATTTCATCAATTTCGACTCAGAAATCTTTGACTAAATAGGAAGCTTGCTCTAACTCTAAATATGATTTATTAACTAAATTATTTTGCCCATCATCATGTAGATATAATCAATACTTCTTTAAACTTACTTAGCAATTTCCATATACTAATAAAGACCATTTTTAGGAAACAAAATGAATGATTACAGTGCATTAAATTTAAATTTTTCGAAATAAAATAGTCCCTAGCACAACGAAGAAAGTGGCTAGCAATATTGCTTTAAGAAGTCATTGATAGTCCTTTAATTGTATATAACTTATATAAATAAGTTGAATGATCTGGGCATTTTGAGACTTTCGAGTAACCCTCTTAGAAAAGCAGACCAAATTTTCATCCAAGGAATGGCTCCTCCATTTAGCTAATATATTTCAGGTTCGTTTTAGTACTCAAAGTCTCTCTACTTTATCTACATCTAGCCTTAACAAACAGGAGCAAAGAAATGTAGGCTTAATCACTGTGTTTTTATAGCAGGACATTTGAATGCTCAACCTGGATTCTATTTGTAGCAAGTATTCGTACAAGGGAATTCATTATTGACATTAGAAATAGTAACATTTTCTCCATAAATTCGAATTGATGCTTTTATCTTTAATGATAAATTAGAATATAAAGTCATTTAGTTTAATTGTCTTAAAAAACATTTTATTTGAGCAAACTTTCTACTTATTATGTCGTTTCATCACCGATTCTATTACTATACAGATTTTTCTCTCTAAATGTATATCCTTTTAAGCCAATACCTTCTATAAACTGGGGAGATAGCAACATTGATGTGCAAAAGTTGCACGTCTGTTATGAACTCAGCTCCACTATGACGACTTGATTAGTTACCAGATCAGAAGATAGATTAAATAAAGAGAATCCTTTTGAGTGCGCATAAAAAACATGATTTTACCGAGTACTTTAACTTATAAGCATAGGTAATTTTATGACTAAACATGCAAAATATTTCAAGCATCTATAAAAGGGACTTTGAGCATGGATAACCCGCTCTTGTTTCACTAATCTCTAATAGTTACCTAGACTATTGCTCCTCTCAAGTCAGTCAAGATAGAGTGAACTTTGACTGAAAATATTTGATTTTGCGTTAGATTATGATTCATTCGTGGTCTGCAGGAACTGAGATAGAAGAAGAAAATTGCCCAAAGTAAGAATAGGTTTTTTAGGCTAATTTCAGAATTTATTCTCTTAAATTTGTTAAAGCATTCCTGCTTAGGACTAGTGGCTTTCAGATTAACTGATGCCTAAACATAGCAGGGACCCGAGAATCTTAAGAAGCCTTGTAAGCAAAGTTGTCTCTTCCCCTTTCGGGGGAACCAGCCGAAGTACACACTTACCTTAATCACACTTTCGAAATTATTTGTTTTATCAAGGAGGCTGTGGGAAACTTGTCCATTTGCTATTTTTGCCGTTTTTACTTCCTATATCAGGCCTGCGACTGGATAAGTTTGGTAAAACCACATTGTAACGATGACAGAGAAAGTAGTTTAAGATACCTGTTTCGAAGTCGTCCTTAAAAAACGAGTAAATTATGAAAATAAGGTAAATTAAGCTTGTACGCTAAATTGAGATTGTGGACAAACCTAGAGCCAAACCTATTTGTTCTTAGGTCCGAAAGACTAAGAAATCTCCTACTTGTCCATACATCAAAATCTACGAAAAATTTAGTAAATTATTAAACTATAAAGAAAGATTTATGCAGACTTTAAATAACGTTAGTAGCTATACGTTCTAATGAAATTATAATAATTTTAACCATTAAAATGTAAATCAAGCCTGCTAAATTTTATGTTAAGGCCCAGAATGCCTATTAAGTTACTAACATTTTAGAGACTTTGTTTAAGTGCTCTTCTAGCACTTTTCGCCAATTAAAATATCCATATAGAATAAATTGTTAATTATATTATCCTTAAGATTTATTGCTGATGTTGCCTGGCCGGGTAAATATGGGGGCATTTATCACATAGATCTCTAATTACCATAGTGTTAGAATAAAGTTTTAGGTACTATTGTTCTGTTCATATTGGGTTTTTCGGTGTCATGTATAACATATAAAATGATGCTTAAAGCATTATGCCTCACGAAGCTATTAACAAACATGATGCACATAGCCTCATGCTGTTGGACTTATTGACACAAAGCCATAAATTTTGTTCATAACTTTAGTGCCCTCTTGATTCATCAGTATTCTTGTCACTAATTTTTTTCACTATCTACCCATACTTAGAAATCTATATATGAAATCTTTCTTTTGTAGGATCATTGCATTCACGCTTATAATCTATTATAGTGTTGCATTTTAAGAAAAATGATTGATATAATTAAGTTAATTAATGGAATTTCTAATGCATTAACTGAGCGGCCTAAAGCTGTTTGGAATTCTTAGGGGAAAGATGAATCTAGATGCCTGAAGTGAATAGAACTTTGGTGTCGTATAAATGTAAGATTTCTATTTATGCGTTTTGTCGTAGGCCACACTATTTTTCTAAATTAGTTTAATTAAAGGCCATATGCTAGTAAAATTCACTTTCGATAGAGTCATCACTGGTAATGGATGAGTTTACACCTCTTTGATTTTGATAAAGACTCATTAGCATGCCTTTATGTTACAATAGTCAGACAATGAATTTGACATGCTTTTTATTTATTTGTTTATAATTATTGAGGTGGAAGAAGTATACTTTCATTATATCGGGCATTAGACGAATAAGTACCAATAAATCTTTTCTTGATGTTTGGTGGCTAGTGTTTAAACATCATATACATAGGACTAGACTGTATCATCCTCATCATCCACAAACGTATTATTTGGCATTTTATTAAGAGATCAAGTAAGCATCATCAGAGGCGATAGACATTACTTTACCCTTAGGGAGTTCAACAGATGTATATGTTAGCTGAGCATTTATTCTCCTAAATTATGGTGCTGAGGTGGTGATCCTTATATCACATAGGCAGCAAAAGTAAAAGAGATCCCAGCCTTACTAACCGGTGAAATGCATTCAAACTCATTAGAGCGATTTATTTAACAAAGAAAGCCCCCATATCTCGGGAAACCGGTAGCACCTAACGCAACAAATACTCAAAAATGAAGACAAAATATTGCTTTCAAATATTATTTAATGGGCAAGAAAAAGTAGGGAGTGTATTTGTCGTATAAACAATGTCTGGAATTTTATTGACTATGTACTTTGGACGACATATGTTAAGAGTCCATAAATACAGACATTGCTCCATTATAAAAGTGGCGATAGTTGAGCAGGTAGGGCATTAAACACTCTTTCGATATGTACACAGCAAAAGTTATGCATGGCAAGACGCAACAGTCAAAATTTATACTTTCTACGGCAATCAATCTAGGAATCCTTAGTTTGATTTCCTAAAATCACTCGACTTCATTTGTTATAGTCAATTTTAATGCTGAATAATGGGCTTAAACGAAACATAAAATCACTTATCATCGAACTGAGACGCTTGAACAACAAAGAATAAATACAACCAGAGAGGATTTTACATACACATGCATAGATAGCTCAATGTGCATAGGAAAAAGGCTGGAGCGAAAAGAAAATAGGAGAACAAGAAACATATAAGTGATTGGATAAGTAACTTCAAATGAGCTGGCACGATAACCCTAAAGGTCGCCATCGTAACCGAGATGGAATTGTCATTTTGACGACAGGGTAGTTATAGGTGTTGTGGCTGTTGCCGGAGCCGTTGAACAGGGCACAGCGTGAGTGTGGTTGATAGCCTTCCCGCTTCATGTGTCCCACCCCACCACTTCAAGTCCTTTTCCCGCCTCTCCCAACCTCTACTTGGCTTTACCTAAAATGCTGACAGGCAAGCGAAAGCGCATCCCTCTACCGGTCGCCCATGCTAGGCCCGGGAGTCAATGGTGAACAGATGATTGACCTCCTGTGCACAAACAGACACATTCATGCTTCCGCATGCCCCCAAACAACACAACTGCATACACACAGGCACACATATACACAAATATGCCCGATTCGTACAATTGCTCAAACCCTTAGCTACACACCTACCACTCCTACAGCTCCTCCATATAGGCCCAACCCCACCTGAACCCGCATACGTTCACCAAATCCTCACCCACTCCAAATCAAATTGATATACTCACGCATACATTCATGCATACAAAAACACACATATGAACATTTCCACATATTTACCCATATACGTTAGTATATAAACCTACACACAATTATTTAGTTATTTATTCATCTATTTTGTTACTTAGAGATTACAGAAATTGTCGTCCCTTTTTTCTCAGCCGAAACACTTTAAATAAGATTTCTATTAGTCGGAGAAAATTATAAAAATAAAGCACTTAAAATCTTGGTACACTATATTCTGTTATAGCAAGCTTTGTCGATGACGACTTAAATTAATTCGTAATAAATGCTGCTGATGCCCATCGAATTCGGGGAAGCTTGGCTTTATGGGCCACTCCTCAGTTCGGAGAAGAAAAGGTTTAAATATACTGAACACTTTTGAATTGTATGCTCACAGAGAAACTCGCGAAGATTGGGTGAATCAGGGCTGTGCATGTGAATGGAAGGTGACTTCTTTTATTGACAGTGCCTTCTCCTAGCAAAGATGAATAAGTTGCGGTATTTAGACCAGATAGTTGATATTTTATCAACATTTACTGACTGACTGTAAGGCTTCA